AAGAGTGAAAGCAGCAGGCCTTTCCAGGGAACTAGACTTGGTGAGTTCCACAAAATACCTCTCCCATCACTATGAGGGAGGGGAGCCATATATATTAATGGCTGTTAATGACATCAGCTGAAAAGGTAGAAGAGATTAGCTAAGGCCTTGAAAAGTATACTGATAAAATTTGGAATTCCATCCAAGAGGAAAGACTGTCTGATAAAGATCAATCAGGGACATCAAAGGCTTTCCCTGGCTATACAAAGGAAGACATATACTCAAATTGAATTTGAAAGCTGTAAGTTGCTGGACTGATTTGTACACTGCCATGGTACAAAAAGTCCTGGCTTCTAGTCAGTAAAGCTGTATGAATCTGGGTAAACAGAAGCCTAGGTTCTCTTGTCTGTACAGTGAGGGGTTCAGTCTCTGATCCTATTCCTATTACTGTGTTACTTCAATAGATGGTTGGTGTCCGCAACATTTCTTAGAGGGAACAAAGGGATCTCTGTGACCTGTTTAAGAGAAAATGGGTTACTGAGACAAGACTGTCCCTGGAAGGAGGATAGTCATCATGCTATACCGTATGTTAATTAAATGACAATGAAAGCTTTCTTCTTTTTTTCTACTTCTGTGCTCACTGAGAAAGCTTCATGTTTTGCTTGACACATTTTTCTCTATAAATTAACAAATTAGATTACCAAATTCTTTTGAGTTTATTTAACAGGTATTTGTTCCTGAGAACCTTATTAATTCTTGAGGAAACTGACATAAGCCAGTTCCTAAAGCATCGAAGCTGGACTTCTGGTAAGCCAACTCACCCTGCTCCCCTCAAGCAGGCAGGAAGTCTTCCCCTTATCACAATTGTTCTATTTGCTACAAAAATTCCCTGTGGTTAGAGGGCAGTAGACTTTTTCTCTAAAGGGCCATATAGTACATATTTTATGTTTTGTGGGACAAGAGGCAAAATCAAGCATCTCACGTAGGTGATTATTTAACAAAAGAGAAAATAAATTTCCACAATTTTTTTCTGATGAAATTCAGAACTGTATTTATGGACTAACAGGTGGCAGGCTTGGCCACTGAGCCCTGATAACTGGAAATATGAGACTAAAACTTGGATGAAACATCAGGAACACAATTGGGGGGTCAGTATTTAGCTATTCAGGAATACAATTTAGGGGTTAGAATTTACTCAAAGTCTTCAAACATGGTATCTACAGCACTGAACGAAAAGCAGAAGGGCTAAGCCAAAGGACTAGGGTTGGACAGGACAGGAATGGAGTGAATCCCCTGTACAAACAGCGGATAAAATCCAGAGAACAGGAAGGAGTGTGATATAAGGGAAAGAATAATAGATTAGGGATCAGGAATCAATGGATTCATATCTACACCTGTTGTCAAATAACTTTTTCTAGCTTGCCTATAAGAGGAGACTGGACTAGATAGAATCCAAGGGCCCCTCAAGCACTCCATTCTATGTGTAGTCAAAGTATAATGCTCCATATTAAATTGTGAGTATAGCAAGTAATCACAGATTTGCCCTTTACTCTTGAATCCCTGTTATTCAATTAACATTTTCGTGAACAAATTTGGAACAAGAAGTGGTGCATTTAGGAAAAAATTTCTGAACGACTTTGAAATGGACCAAAAAGATTATTCAATGCCATCAGTGAAAAAATAGATTCAATCTAGCACAGCTTTCAGGGTTATCTGATTCCATGTGGTCTGAACCTTTGAGTTATAACTCAGCAAGCTGTAGAACACTGAGAGTAATGCAAATGATTTTTGTCTATAGTTGTGAAAACTGTCTGGTGGAGATACAGTTGATTATTGCACTATGGTTATGGACCAATTTTGCTTATGTGAAGCAAATCTCAGCATTTTTGATTGCCTATGTGTCTGCTCTTTGGATTCTCTTCTGAACATCTTAGTGATTCACTTGTTCATTAATGAGTTAAACCGAATTGTTTGTATAGGTACTAGAATGTTAACTGTACATGCTTGAAAAATAAAATAACAAAGGTCAGGTGAAAATAAAGGCAAACATTACTTTAGCAAATGGTTCACTTGACAACATTCCCAATAAGCAGAGCAGAAAGCCTAGGGGGATAGAGGAAGTGTAGGGTATAGATTGGTTAAGGACCCAGATGTGTCTTTTGCTAAGTTCAGTGTGCACAACTGCTAGTAAGTGCCCTTAAACTAAAAGGTATTTTTATTATTAATAAACCTCTCACCAAATATCTTGGCATCTTCTACACATCTCTGGGTTCGCCTTCTTATATTTTCACCATCAGCTATAGCTCTCTGGTATCTCACCTGAGCATCAAAAGCAAAGTCAAAATGATAAGAAAACAAATGCCTATTGGTGGAAAAGAAACTTTTTGCTTACTTTACAAATTTCACCCTTGGTATAGATTTTTATTAAAACAACAACAACAACAACAGGAGTTGTGTAGGAATCTCAGATCAGCTACTCCAAATTCCCAGTCATAGCAGGACTCTCTCTTTATAGTGGCCCTGATAGGCTGTCATTTGGGCTGCCAGTTTGAACACAGAACAACTGTTTTCAAGCCCATTATCTTGAGAAAAAGCTTTCTTTTTCACCTTCAGGCCACACTGCCACCCTTCAACTTTCTTTTGTTGAACTGAACTCTAGGATAGCCAAGAGTAAGTTTTAAAAATATGTCATCTATTTGAAGCCAATTATTTAGCCTCTTTAGTCTTTTCTTCTTTCATTCTTATAATCCCTGGTTCCTTTCATTCCTCTTACAAGACACACTTTCCAAACCCCTTACCGTTTTGGGGTGGTCCTGCTTTGGAATTACCCTAATTATTTCTCTTTCTCAAAGTCTGTCAATCTAGTGCTGGCACAGTAAGCCAGAGGTAGTCTGATTGGCAGAATACAATGATAAATGACCTCACTCATTCAACAAATATTAATTGAGTGTGTACTACATGCCAGGCACTGTACCTCCTTTGAAGCTACCAAAATATCAGGTATCTAAGTACTGTGACACACCAGGGAACTGAAAAGAGATAAGTATCCACAGTCAGTAATGTTTTTGAACTAGTACAGATTATTTTGCCTAGTATATCTAGCAAGAGGGATAAAGAGCTAATTAGAAAAAACAGTTTAAAAACTGACTTAAAAAACTTTACGTCGATATTCAAATCCGAGAAAAGATGTGAATATAGATAATATAAACAGATAATAGAAAATATGATATATGTTACAGAATATATGAACAGATAATATAAAATCTACCCACTGTTAAATCCTGGACTTCCTTCTCCAGTTTAACAGCTTTTAGCTTTAAGGCTCGTTCTGCAAGAGAGGGCCCAAGTTCATCAGGAGGGTCCTCAGAACTGCAGTCTTCACCAGCGGTTCTCTGGGTGGCAGTGCTGAAAGGATGCAGCCATCCCCTAAAGTGGGAGGGAGGTGGTACATTATGAAGAAATGCCGTCACAAACAGCTGAAGTTATAACCAGGTTCAGAGGCTGGAATGTTTCCCAGACTGACTCTCTCTAGACAAAGTGCTTTCAGTCTCAGTAACAGTACAAGCACTTATAATGTGCTTGCTAAATGCCAGACACAGTTGACAGGGTTTTACTTAAATCATCTTTTCATCTTACAACATGTGAGATAAATACTATCATCATCCCTATTTTATAGATGAGAAAACCGAAGCTCAGAGAGGCTTATGTCTTGCTCAAGATTACATAGTATTGTTGAATCAGGATACTGAGCATCAGGCAGTAGAAATAGCTGGAAGTGGGGACACAAAAGTCAGCAAGAGAAAACGAAATTATAATACCTAGAACCAGCAGGGCAATATGAGAAGCGAGAATTCAAAACAAAAAGCCATACAGTTCAGGTTCAATCCCTCATTTTATAGGTGTGGAAAATTAAGCCCAGTAAAGGTACCTTATCTAATTGGAGTGAGACCTGGAATTCTAAAGCCTTCTTGATCACAAGCTCTAAGTAAAAGCAAGACTTTTATGGAAGAGAACCTACACTAAGAGAAAATGAGTTGGGAGCTCACCTATATGTAAAATCAAGTCAATCAAAAACTTATAAAACATTTACTATATGTTGTGGACTGTGAACTATATACAGGTGAATAAAACAGATCATATAGACATATAGTTCAGTTCACATAAAAAGTTTAGAGTAGGGGTAGTTTGCAGATCTTGGATTGTAGCAGTTCTGACCCCCCTGTTCAAGGAAGTTTCCATTACACCTCCTGGATCATCATAACAACATGAAGTAAAACCATCAAGAAATCTGTGAGCGCAAAAGGTCTTTAAAACAAATAGTTTATTTATTTAAACTGGTATATATTGAAAAGTGGCCACTGAGGTGAAATCTAAGCAAAGGCTTAAAGTGGGTAAAGGAGTTTACTTCAAGAAAGGGAAGAGGGAACCACCAGTATTAGGGTGTGGGCAAGATTACTTTTATCTTCCAGGCCAGTCCTGAATTCAGTTATTACGATCTGATGTCAGATTACACAAGATTACACATTTTTATTTCGAAAATTGGTCACCTCAGATCTGGGACACATCACACAGGGTGAAATAGATCCTTCCTCCTAAACTCCTTAAAAACTACACTTATCCAATTGAAAGGAGGTCAAGATATCCTCAGGGCCAGTTGAAAGGGCACACGGCCAGGGCCCAAGTCGTGAGAAAGAGGGAGCTGTGGCGCATCCATTCAATTGCTACTGTTTCAGAACTGGAGTCGGGGAAATTTTATTAGAAGGGAACATTTTCCTTCTGATTACTTCC